CTGTCTTTTCTCCCCGTCTGCAATAAGGTTGCATTTACCACAAGAATCTACCACCCAAATATCAACAGCAACGGCAGCATTTGTCTTGACATTCTGCGATCACAGTGGTCTCCGGCTCTCACCATCTCCAAAGGTAAACTCCCTTACTCATTAAAGTACACATATGGTTAAAGAGGAATAGCAGTAATAAATGAAATTGCTTCCTACAGATAATACACTACAACATTTCTCACTCGGAGGTCCTTGTAGCAGACTCGACGCCTCTCTCTGTAAATGTCAGCTTTCTCCCTATCATTCAGTGCTTATCGCTGGGTGTCATGAACCACAGTTTTCTATGTTTTACATCTGAAATGGCATGTGTTATCAACATTTCTGTAGACATCACAAGTACTCAGCTATCCAAGGGTCACCCGAGGAGAAAACTACATGTGTTTTCTATTTGTGAATACTTATTGGTCACCTGTCCTGTTCCAGTCCTCCTGTCCATCTGCTCTCTGCTGTGTGACCCCAACCCGGACGACCCCTTAGTACCCGAGATCGCCCGCATCTACAAGACGGACAGGGAAAAGTAAGTTATGAGCTTCATGTTGTTTCTCCATAATTAGTTATTTTATTTGGCCTTGTTTCAATGATTCATTTCAACACACAAACCATAACTTATGAGCTTGAGCTGTCAGCTAATGCTTGTTCTGATCAAAGTTGATGCCTCAAACTGGCTACTGGTGGAACGTTTGTTAAAGAGTATTGGTTTATTTGAACAGGGTCACTGATAAAATGTGTGCAGTAGACTTACACGGTGTTCACGTATACACCAGTAACAGATCTTACCCACCACCGCTTTGCTTTGTTCTGTAACTTTACATAAGCCACGTGGTGTTGCCTTCTCCATAGTTTGAAAGCAAACATACTGGCTTCAAAAATGTACAGACCTCTTACTTTAATAAGTCTCGTAAACCAAGCAGATTAGCCCTGATTGGCCACCTGAAACGGGCTGGATATCCGCCAGATCTGTTGTAATTTGCGGTATATTTTAAGGGGGGCCTGCATGATCACAGATCTCCGATGTATCTCTGGTAGGTCAGACATTTTGGTCGGCCATCTTTAAGTTTTAGCAGTGAATAAACGTTCTGAATTTCTGACATGCCTGCTGTCAAATGGTCCATTATAAACTGTCTTTAGCCTATGACTGGATTCATATTTATCATGATGCTGAGATCGCTGTGACATAAAACTAAACAGATCTACGTATTGTAGACATCTTTGGCGCATCATGTTCTTGATTTATCATTTTTTGTTCATTGAAAATGTGCCTCTTTGTCACATTGAGGATGCAGCATTCTTATTTGAATAATCTTCAGTTGTTAATTGGCCAAAAGGACAGTCAGTTCAATGCTAACACTAAGTGTGAGCATCCTGTAAATTGATAATATAATGTGCCTTTAGCAAACCTTTTCCTGATAGCGTTGTATGCCTTTTGTTGAAATATTATTTGGTTTTTTTACGACGTAACAATCTGAGCTACTTCACTATGATGCCGATTATCAATCACAACATTTTCCTTTCCTGTCGTAGCACACGATAACAGAAATAAGTCCAAACTAGAGTTAGCCTTTGTGCTTCTTTGCCCCGTTTGATATTCTCTGGTACGAAGAATCGCACAGGAACACCCTTAGGATGGGTGTTCAGTTCCACCATTTGGTACGCTACATCTGCTGCAGCATTGGCTCCTGAACATTTACCGCATTGGTGATGAAAAACAAACTAGCCAAATAAAATGGGTGCAAGGTGGCAGAACTCTATGTGCCCTTGTAGAGTGACAGCCAGCTGGCATCTCTGCTGCTGCTGCCTCTGCAAGGGTGGCGGCAGAACTTTTGATGCACACGTGGAAAATAACGGAGGTTAAACCACTAACGACTTTTCTCTCCCTCTGCTTGTTCACAGGTACAACAAAATAGCTCGGGAATGGACACAAAAGTATGCAATGTAGTGTTGGGGGGTAGAATCAATGCCAACCACCTCTACAACGTAAGGTTAGGGGAGCTTCAGACGTAAAGAGAAAACAAACAAAAAACCATTCAAAACAAATGAAAAGTTTAAAACAAGATCTTGTTGGTTTCCATTGGAGTGCTTTCTTTGAGCCACGCCTCCCCTTCACCAGAGTACCTGTAAAACTCCCTCTGCCCCCCCCTCTCTCTTCTCCCTCTGTTTTACTCTGTCTCCCTTTCCCTCCCACCTGCCTCTCAGCTCACCTCTCCACCCTCCAGTGTACATATTGTCAACTTGAAATGGTAACACCCATCTCTTTACCTTCTCCCACCTCCCTCGTGACCTCTGACTTCCGTTACACTTTGCCAACATGCAGGTTGGCCTCCCTCCCCCCCTCCCTTAAACTCCTCCTTTTTCCTACACAAACTCCTGCATCCTCAACCACCTTCCCCAGACGTTAAAAGCATTCCTTTGAGCATCAGTAAAACTTAGAGGGGACTTTTTCTTCTTCTTTATTTTCCTTTTTTTCCAGGGCAGTGGGGGACAATACATTTGAGGGATTTTTACGCTCTGCACCCTTTCTTGTTTTGTTGTCCTTTCAAATCCCATATGTCAGAGGTGACAATACAAGAAAGCAATTTGTTTTCGCATGCGAGTCGAAGGGCACTCTGTATTTTATACAATGAATACTTAAAATAAATCATTGCAGGCTATGTAAGATGAAAAAAAAATGCACATGGCCTATTTTGGTCTTCTGTTGGATTCTACGAAAGGACTTGAATTTATCCCCACATCTCCTGCTCCAAACTCCCTCCCTCCCACCCTAACCAGTTGACCCCTTTGTACACACACATAGACACACATGCACGCACAATTGTAACCCCATGCCACCCCACCACTACCACCAACTTTTCGTTATTCACATAGTGGAGGTTCTGGACCAGGTATTTAAGCAATTTATTTTTCTTAGTTTAACCTGTGTTTTTATCTCCCCCCCCCCCCCCCCCCCCCCCCCATAACTCTTTAGGTTGCATTGTTTTTCCCTTTCCTTTTTTTTTTGTTGCTATTGTTGAATTAGAGGCTAACATCTTAAATGGCTATGGGACTGGCTTGGGCTCTGGGTGCGAGGAGAACCCACTCTTCTTGCACAAAACCTCTGTATATTGAATTACCTGAGAGGCTCGTTGAGCTTTGTGTGTTGATTAAACTGTGTAATAAAAACCCATGATTCCTGTGTTGACTCATTCTCAGACCCTATTGAGTACATCCAGAAGTAGGAACATGTGAAGCTGGGTCACATTCATGACCTAGTTAAACAGGAAATGGACAGGATGAATACTACCTGCCTTCACCACACTGTTGGTCTGATTGTTTAACAAAACTTTACATAAAGGGTTTTGAAATGTATCACAACAGATGATTTGTAGAAGTTAGTATTTGAGTGTCAATCTAAAGTTTAAATATGTTGGTTCAAAATAATGCATTTACAGTATTAATAAATTAATTGTATTAGGATATTATATTACACAGGCCTTACCTCATGGATATATTGGGACATACGTTTTAAATGTCAAAATGGCCATGATATCCTGTAGCCCTCTTGGGGGGCTTTTATCTAAACCATTTAAGTGTATAACATTTATTAGATAGTTAAATTCGCTATATATCAACAGTTATTTACTAAATTAAGACTTGTTATATATATTGAAGAAGGGACAGTAGTGGTTCTTCATAGCATTTCTGTGTTGAAGAGAAATAACTTACCGAAGAAGGAAATGGGACTCGACAAAGCTTGAAGCAATCAAGATGGCTATCCTCCAGTGGAACCTTACCGTCGTTCACTACGTGATATAATCATTAAATGTCAAGTTAATGAATGCATAAGTAATTATTGGAGTAATCGCTATTGGGGTTCATCCTAAAATGACACCGTTTTGGCACAGATTGAGCAAACTTCTCATATGGAGGCTGTGAACTGTATTTGAAGGTTACGGAAAAAACCAGGTTATTTTGCCACTTAAAAGTTTAGACGGTCAAGAATTACCTTTAAAAAAAAAAAAGCATATATTTGATTCAACAAATTAAATAGGATCTTTGTAATGGACCTTGAGACACCTTGCTGGGTCATAAACAATATAGAGAATATAGCAAATGTTTGTGTTGTCTCCTGGGTTCTGTAGTGCCCGGAGTCTGTCTTTTTATTTATTTTTCTTGATTGAATTGATTGATTGAAAAGTTTATTAACAGCTTGTATATTGGGTACAGTACAGTACAGCTCAAAACATACAATTGTTAAGGGGATGCAGACCAGAGAAAGACTTTCGTCTTGTTTACATCAGGGTCCCCCATTTCCAATTCATCATGTCATTTAAGACATTTAAGACATATTTGACATACAGATGGCTTATTTACAATTTACATACAGGTGGTTTTTTACATACAGATTGCTTATTTACAATTTTCATTTTAGATTTCGTTCTAATACATCCTAACCGGACATTTAAGACATACCAAGTCTACAGATATACAGTTAGTAATAGAGTCTAAAATGCGAGTATATACATAGATGGGGGGGGGGGGGGGGGGGGGGGGGGTGGGGGGGAAGCTGTCCATTGAACGACAGGTTGAGATTTGTACCATTACCGGGGCCAGTTTTGCAATGCTCTCCCCCGAAGGTGCTCTTTAAGAGAGGTTTTGAAGGTAAGTATAGTTTTACTTTCCTTTACAGTTGTGGGAAGAGCGTTCCACCTTGATGTGGCATAATTGCGAAACGTGTATCCTCCCAAACCCCATCCCCTCAGGAAGCCTTTGCCTCCTGTCAGGTCATCATTGTAAATAATAATTTGTTCTTAATTGATTTGCCTGGATACATAAAGGTTCTACTACTACTACAGGTAGTTAATTAATCATATTTGAGATTACAGTTGCAGTAAATCCTTCAAAGAGTACTAAAGTGAAGCCGGATGTACGCGTGGATTGGTCTCTTGCTCTGGCATAACTCCTCCTCTCTTGGAGCTGATTGGCTGCTGCACAGCACGTAGGCGGTCGAGCACGCTTGTGTAGCGGGGAGAGTTCATTTACGATTCCCAGTTGACCTTGCTGCTGAGTGCTTATCCAAAAACAACACACCGTTCAGGGAAACACATCAACCCCGGGTTTACCAGCCATGTCACAGATACCGATACCCGCATTATCCAGCTCAGGATTCTCGTTAACAAAAGGTAAAGTATCCAAGCTAGCTAATAGCATGCTAGCATTACATGACTGTTGTCGTTTGCCTCTCAACGTAAACTTAACACGTCTGTGTGACCTGACATTACCCTGGCGAGCTCAGTGAATGCTAACGTTACGGTTGTTTGTAAGCTACCATTTAAGAAGGGTTGAATGGAGATTATGAACCTGAATAAATTTAGGGAATATATAATTAAACATTTGTATCTTATTTCAGCAGTTAGTTACTTATTCAGCAGCTACTTAGCTAAACAGCCATGTCACTGGGCAGTCAGCCGTGTTGGATGCAGCCACATGTTGTGTTCCCAACTTTAGACTATCACTCAGATAGTTTTGGCCCATCAGCTATCAGGCCACTACTTGCGTATCTTAACGTCCAGCCAGCTTCCCTAACAAAGCAGCTAATGACTGAACCTGCTGATCAGGACTGACAGCAGGGCCCCAGTTCCTCTGGTCTTACGACGACTCATCATGTGATGCTCAATGCCTAGAAAAAACGGTCTAAATGGAAATGCACTTTACATACCTCTTAACTAAGTTTTCTCTGTATAAGCAGGCCCCGTTCATTATCCTCCTCTGATGATGCAACGTGCTGTTAAGAAGATAGATTTGAGGCTTTAATGACATTTAAATGTTTATAGCTCAAATTGATGCAATGTTATGCTGCCAGGGTGGATGTTTGTTTTAGTGAGACAAACGTCAACAGACAGAAGTAGTGCAGCAAGTGCTTAACATATTACTTACTTCCAAGCCTAAAAGTCCTTTGCCACAAGTAACATGCAGAAAAACAATATTTTAACACAGGTTTAGTGATTCCAAGGGTATTTAAATGGGCAATGGATACCAAAAAAGACCCTGGTATGTCTCATGAAGTGTCCAGTTGTTGTCCAGTAAACCTGCGCTGTGTAATGCAAGCCAGTAAAATATACATCCAATACATTCTTTTTTGTGAACCCTATCATTTTATTGGTTCTGACTCTGTTTTATGTAGGGCAAAGTTAGCCATAACACTGTATTGAGATGCATTCAATTTTGGGGTGTTTCTAAGATAGGAAAACCGCCTGTGACGCCTTTACCGAGCCACAGAAAGGTGTATTTCTGAATAATAATACCTTTCTGTATCTCCACTCACACTGTCTCCCTCTTTCAGAGCATTTTGTGGTTGCGGTGCCAGTCGCAGTGGTTGCAGCTGTCGGAGGTTTCCTAGTCAGCCATTACCTGAGTGGACGGGGCTGTAAAAAGGGCCAGGTAAACACCTGCATCAGTAAAGACAGCCCCAAAGTGGTGCACAGCTTCGACATGGAGGACATCGGCACCAAGGCTGTGTACTGCCGCTGCTGGAAGTCAAAGAAGGTCAGCAGCTACTTTAGAGCATACATAACTGCACTTAATTTCAGTGTTTGATTTATTGTTAAATGTATACTGATATTAGACATTCTAAGCTAGTAACTCCCTTAGCTTTCCACCATAAAGGGTCACTCCAGTTCACATAGTTCACAAGTGTTTTTTCTTTGACAGCTTATTTAAATCTTATCATTAAGCTCTGCCAACCATATCAGAGTGTTGGCTGAAGTAAATTAAACACTTAGTGACACTGATTTATGGCTTTTGTGTCAATCTGAGAATAATTGAGTGTGCCACTATCGCTGTATATCGGTTACATTTGAAAACAATAGACCTCATACTTGAAATATCCCAAGTTGTACTTTTGGCGAAAGTCTTTTGCATAAACAAGATCTAAAATGTGCCCTATGTACATAAAATAAAGGACAAGGAACATCCGAGTTCAACAAAACTCTTCCGTCTGCAAAGTTGAATATTTTTTAAATGTATAACCACTGGGGCTTAGGCGTCTTGAGTAGAGCTATTTCAGGATTTGTTCACGATCGTAAAGATACAAATGGTCTTCAGTCACTTTGAGACTGATGGTAATACCACTAACATGTCTGCTCTGTAGTTTGGTCTCTGTCTTAGTACAAGGTGCTTTCTGGGAGATTAAATTGGCTAACCGTGTCCACTCGTTTCACTGCAGCACAAAGGGCTTGAACTTGATAAGAGCAACTTTTGTTTCCCTCTGTTTACAGTTCCCTTTCTGCGACGGAGCCCACGCCAAACACAACGATGAAACCGGGGACAACGTGGGACCGCTCATCATCAAAAAGAAAGATGCTTAAGCCGCCCAATTGGAGAACCTTGCGCTCATCCTTTCACTTCTCATACACCCGACCTTTGTTTGTCCAATCATTTATTACCATCGCAGTGTCGCGTGGATTGTTACGGTATTGTCGCAATTAAATCAAGCGGTGGATATACTTCATTGCTCAGAACAAAAAATGTTGTGGTATTTTTGATTTGATTCACGCTGTTTCTACGTAAGCCGACATTACTTAAATCAAAGGTCATTTGAGGAGAGATAAGGAAGGACTTTGACAATCAGCACACAGACATGGAGGTACTATGACTAAAGTTACATTTTGACCTGCTTTATGTGAGGAATTCAGTTAAAAGACTCACTGGACCTGATTCACAGTGCAGGCATAGTAGCTTCACGCCTGGTGTCAACAGTGTTTCCCCTTCCTTCTCCTCTCCTCAGAGTAGAGCATTATAAAACCTGACGCTCTTTGAGGCAGATCTTCATTTAAGTTGGTCATTTGAATTAAGGAAAGGCTTTATTTTTAAATCATTAGCCCGCGAGACCCAGAGTTGAAATGCACATAACCCATATGAATGTTACATGGTATGATTTTTTCACCATGAGCTGCTTATTCAGGAGTTATCTCCAATCAACACTATCGGCTTGTTGTTTACCAGTTTTACTGTCTGCTTCCTGAGTGAACTTGTATTTAATCTGTAAAGTATTCAAAAACTCTTGCTTAGAAAATGATATATATTGCTTATTCCATCAGATTTATTTTCTACTGGCTGCGTGCGGTGTGACGACTTGATTCATTGTTCTGTATATTGTGAATAAAACTTCATAAGTGACCTGATTTAGTTGGCTCTGCATGTTTGTTTTGGAGGTGTTTTCTTGCTTAGTGGGCCAAGGGCCAAACATTACATTTGTTTGTTTTTGAACCACAGGAACAAATAAACTTTACTGTACAGCTTTACCTCTGTTGACAGCCAGGCAAAGCAGTGTGTTTATGGATTAACAGGGGTAAAGAGTAAACAGCCGTGTGTGTGTGTGTGTGTGTGTGTGTGTGTGTGTGTGGTGTGTGTGTGTGTGTGTGTGTGTGTGTGTGTGTGTGTGTGTGTGTGTGTGTGTGGTGTGTGTGTGTGTGTGTGTGTGTGTGTGTGTGTGTGTGTGTGTGTGTGTGTGTGTGTGTGTGTGTGTGTGTGTGTGTGTGTGTGTGTGTGTGTGTGTGTGTGTGTGTGTGTGTGTGTGTGTGTTTGCAGTGTCCACCAGCACCAGTGGCCATTTTAAGAAGTGGCAGTATTTGTGGTGACCACTAGAAGACGCTGTGTTTACACGGATAGTCCTGGCCAGACAGTGAGTACGGTGGGCCCCTGCTCCATAGTGACACGCACGTAGATACACGCACACACTGACACACGCACGAAGTATCTGGCTGCGTGCCAATTGCAACGGAGGGCTCTCACAAGAGGTGGAGTGGACTACACCGTCCCCGCGTGAAGAGTCACCTTTAACAGAGTGCTGCTCACAGAGGGACAACACACATCTGAGTGTCAACAATTACCTGCGTTACAAGTGGAGCAACACTAGCTCAATGCTACTTATGCTAAGTAGGCTAACACACTTTGACGGATAATTCAATCTGACAAGCCTATGTTTGGTAAAAAGTACTTTTTATTTTAGAATTATTAGTTTAATTATTGTTGTTGTTAAGCAAATGCGATTCGATTATGTCGACTATATGCTACACTGAAGACAACACATCGAGTTTTCCGGTCATTAAGTATGAATTACCAGTAATGAAAAGGCTTCCCGTGGGGATACTAGGCCTACTTACACTTCAAACTATAGAACATGTACATACCACCACCCCCCCCCCCCCCCCCCAAACAAAGGGGAAAGTTTAGCTTCGAGTTATTTCCTAAATATACATATTAAAATGTAATGTGTGAACACCGACCTGCCCAGAGAATGCGGATGAAAACATTTATTTTGGCAAAAGTCGGAGCCATTTACAATAGGCTATGTTATTGATGTGCGTTGTTTCCAGACATAGAAAAGACAAAGCATACATTCACATCTCAATTTGAATGCAATTCTAGTCTTCGCACTAATTCACTGCTAAGCTAATTAAAGCTTTATGCACAGGTGCCTTTAATTAAGTTAATGATGCTATACATTACAGCGCTGTAATTCAAATACACTTTATTGGCATGAGATCAGAAAACTGTATTACCAAAGTAGTACAGACAAATATTAATAAAACAAATCAAATATACAATAATATGCACAAAGGCTACAGTCATATTAAATATACAAAAATAAAGGTATTAGGCCTACAATAATGATCATATTTAGTAGTTTCTCCGGTGATTAAACAGGACATTAATGTAGGCTATGGCACAAGCCTTAAGGACTTTTTTATTTGTATTGAGATGGAAACGTATCATGCATTAGACTGCTGTAATAACACACCCTAATGAATAACTTTAAATGGATTTGAATATATTGACACAAATGTGTAAATGTTGGCCTATATTTAAAAAGTTGTTGTAGGCCTACTTTAAATATTTAACATGATAAAGGGATAGTTGGTGTCACTTGTAGTAACGCCCATTGACACAAAAGGGTGTCTGATGCAGAGTAATGGGGCTTTAATCTGTCACCCTAAAGTCTACCCACTGACAGCTGTCCGTGTATGTTGACGTGTTCCTCAGGATATTATGGGGTCGCTCTGACCACGGTCTCGGCTGCAGAGTCCACTTCGCATTTTGAGCGACGCCCCCAAATTCCGTGCAGAGTGTTTGCAGACCCTCCGGGACGGAGAGGTGGAGGAGGAATCGGCAGCTCCACCGTCCATATACACTACAATCACCACGCCATTAGTTCATGACTTCATCATATGTTTGACAGGAGAGTTTGGACCCTATTTGGAAGGTAAGACAAGACGTTTTAACAATACTTACTGTTGATTTTCGCTGTTTTGGTTTTGTCGCCTTTTTCCTGCGCGCAGCGCCGTGTCGCAGAGACCACTCGGACTGTGGTCAGCTCGTCGTGGCGTTGGTCGAGCACCGTCTTCTTAGGTAACATGAATTACGGTGAAATTATCGATTAGGTGTCCAGGTCGACCCAGAAAAGAATATACAGTGTTGTCCTGTAACAACATATGTGTCCCGTGTTCAATCACTGGAGTAGATTTTCTACAAATGTGGACATGGAATATAGCCTGGTCTTTTTTTATCCACAGCAACCGCATCGTTGCGCACCTCGCTCCTCGTCGTCGATACCAGACAAAAGACAGCCTGTTTTTTTTTACGGTCCTCTATTTAGTCTTCTTCTGTTCAGCTTAAGCTTTGCCTGGCACACATAACAGCAGTCGTCAAAATGTATTTGAAAAGCGCGCTCCACATTTGACCTGCGCATATGCGCATATCTTTGCATATTGTTGTCGCTCTGTTATTGATTGCATTGATATACCGTGAAATTCTTAAAGGGATACTGCCTCCTGTATGCGGAAATCATATTCAAGCAATGCACTGTGTGATACAGGCACGGGTTGTCTCTATTCAAGCAGTTTATTTCTAAATCTATATAAATATATGTTTTTTTTCTTTAAACACAGATGAGCCACACTCTGACAGTGTTTAGTGCCTCTGGCTGAGAAATATCTCCCAGTCTCATCTCCTCTGTTTACTCTCTTTCTGTATTGGTCTCTCCAACATTTCTATTCTTAACCTTGCTCTCTTCATCCCCCATTCATTTCTAGCTCTCCAGGACTCTGAGGCTGCTGCAGAGAATGGGAATAGGGACACAGGCCAAGGCTTGCCATTTTGGCTGAAGTAACAGCAGGACGGTTGTCAACCCCGCATCGGCTTCAATCCCCTTCTCCCTTACCTCTCCTCCCACACACACACACACACACAACACACACACACACACACACACACACACACACACACACACACACACACACACACACACCACACACACACACACACACACACACACACACACACACACACACACACACAAAAACACACACACACACACAAACACACACACACAAACACAAACACACACATATACACTCACACAAGGACAGACACCCCCCCCACACAGCCATTGCTATGTCCACTGCCGTAGACATCGCTGGCCCTTCCTCCCCAGATCAGCCCCACAGCAGTGCTAAAATCCCCAATGAGCCTCTGAGACCCAGCCTTAAGCGCTCCAACCACCCCTACAGCCTCTCCCATTACATCTCCACCCCTTCCCCTGCCGTGGACGTCAAAGGCCTGATCCAGCCCTCTCCGGCCCAGCAGCGGGCTGCCCAGCCTGCGCACACTAAGCCCCGCCGGGCCCCTTCCTGGCCTGACATGTGGGAGTCGCCCAGCGGGCTCCACCTGGCCCACGCCGCAGAGCTGCTGATGCGCGCTGGGCTGCTGGCGCTGACCCCGGCCTCCACAGAGCAGGCCGGCCTGGGCGCACAGAGCAGCCAGCCGGTTAAAAGGGAGGCTGTAGAGGCAAAGGGGGATGCGGAGGGAGGTGGGTCGGGGCCCGAGGAGGACGAAGAGGACTCCTCTGGATGTGGCACCGAATTCCAGCCCTTCCTGGGTGCTTGGTTCCCCTTCAGCCCCGCTCTGTTCCCCCTGGCAGGCTTCCAGATGGGGGGAGGCCACTGGAGGAGCGCGGCCATGGGAGCTGAGGGCATCGAGGGGCTGGTGGCCGAGGGCTACTCACCTGGCTCTCTGGGAGGGGGCAGCGGAGGGAGGAGGAAGAGGAAGAGGTGTGGGGAGTGCGTACCTTGTCGGCGACAGACGAACTGCGACCAGTGCAGCAGCTGCCGCAATCGCAAGAGGGGACACCAGATCTGTAAATACAGGAAGTGTGAGGAGCTGAAGAGGAAGCCGGGGGGTCCTGGGTTTGAGAGCAGAGTGTCTGGGTTTGATCTAAGGGGCTCCGACTTTACTTTGGGTCTGGCACAGGAGAGAAGCAACGGCACCTTGGATGGATAATACTGATAGGGTGGGTGGCAGCATTTGTCAGAGGATCCTGGTTGGATGATTGTTGAGGGGCTGCAGTAAATAAAAGCACACAGGACACCATGATAACACTCGGACTGTGGTTCAAAGATCTCGTCAGATCTCGTGCTTAACGAGGAGCTGCAGCTCCGTTAGAGAATGTCCAAACTCGTTCCCATCCTTTCTTTTGACAATCAGTGAGTCGGAGAGGAGAGAAAAAAGGATACCAATGTGTGTCAATATTTAGATGACGACAAAAAAAATGCTGTAAATAGACTGTAAATATCTGGAAAACATTATGTCTTTTTTTACATCCCTTTCCAGTTTGGATGTATTGTGTTTCAACATTAAAAAAAAGGAGCCAAATGTTTTGTTTCTAACGGCGAGTTTTGTTTTCTGTTGTTCTGACGTCACTGCATCAGTAAGAAATGAATGAGTTCAGCTTAGGCTAAATTATGTCATGTGCAACTTGTACTGTATAGCTCTGTTTGCCCTTTTGAAATAAAATAAATTGGCCATGTGAACTTGTCTACAGGCTGGGTTTATGCTATGTCCGTTAGTGTGTGTGTGCTTGGATTTAATTGGGTGTATGTGTCCAATGTTTCTGGTTGTACACACATGTTGTCGTGTGTGTGTGTGTGTGTGTGTGTGTGTGTGTGTGTGTGTGTGTGTGTGTGTGTGCGTGCATGCGTGTGTGTGTGTGTGAGGTTGTGTGGATTATGAGTCACCTAATAGTGTGGCTGAGAGCCTTATCACAACCCCACAGACACACAAACACACCTACACGCTGCCTTGGCAAGTCTGGTGCATACTCTACACACACACACACACACCTAACCTGACGTGCACACATAATCACACACACTCTGTTCAATTCACACACTGACAAAAATGTCCCTTTTTATTCACAAGTGTGTATCCTATATAGACACGTGATAAACAACATATACAGACAGCTGGACTCGGGGCTACAGGGTGGGTTTTTGCTTGTTGCCGTAACGATGGCTGATGTGATAAGACCTTCTTCCTCGGCGCCACACTCCAGGGGACCGCAGGGAAGACGTAACCATGGCAACGGCCGGCCCGAGGTGTCACGCTATAATTGGGCCACGGCTGCACTTCCTGTGTGCCTTCAGTCAGGGGGATCGCAGAGGGACTGTGCGTGTGTGTGTGTGTGTGTGTGTGTGTGTGTGTGTGTGTGTGTGTGTGTGTGTGTGTGTGTGTGTGTGTGTGTGTGTGTGTGTGTGTGTGTGTGTGTGTGCATCTGTGGGGGTTGTGTGTGCGTGTTTGTCAGGCAGGGAGAGAGAGAGGGAGAGAGAGAAAGCGCAGCACGCCAGCCAACGCAGGACACTGCCAACTCATGGAGAAAAGCAGAGAGCTCCAACACCATGCTATTGCAGCGCTGCCTCTGAATGAGGAACACAGTCTCTTAGTTAAAGTCCACACACTCTAGTGTTTCTTCATCTCCCAGACAAAGGGGGAATTTCAAATTCTTGGATCTGCAGCTTTTTTTTCTCCTCTCTCTCTCTCTTCGGTGCCTTTCTAGTGATTTGGAGCTTAATCCCCCCTCCCTGTTCTCGTCACGCATGCACACACACACACACACACACACACACACACACACACACCACACACACACACACACACACACACACACACACACACATACACCGGAAATCTGTGTCACCCGCTGCCCAGCAGGTCCAGTGACTCCCTGAACGCCTGCAGTCTGGCTCCACTGGCCTGCAAGATGGCAGGAGAGAAAGGGAGGGAGGGAGGGGGGGGGTTGCAGAAGGAAGGATTGAACGGAGGACAGAGAATAGGAGGAGGGGTGTGTGGGGGGGTTGAGAGAGTGAGTTAGGGGAGTAGGGGGAGCAGGAGGAGGGGTGGAAAGCGGATCTAGGGAGAGGGTTGAAGGGGTAGAGTTGGGGGGAGAAAGAGAAGTGGTGAAGGGCAGAGAGAGAGAGAGAGAGAGAGAGGGAGAAGGGAGGATTGGTGCTGGTGGTGGTGGGGGGTAAAACTGGGAGAGATGAAAAGCAGGCCACAGGGGGAGAGGAAAGAGAAAGAGGGAGATATGCAAGGGAGGAGGACGGGGAGATGGACAGCAGGGGATGAAGATAACACGGGCCAGACAAAGAGGGAGGCAGAGATGAGGGGTGAGATCCGAGAGAGAGTAGTAGGCGCAGTGATGGAGGCCGAATGAAACGCAGCGAGAAGCAGGGAGACGGGGGTTAATGACGGATGCATCGTCCAGATATCCGCCACAGACCCCTGTGGAGCGTACATATGTTAGCACCAGCGGCCCTGCCCACTCTGAAGGAAAAAGTCCTCTCACACTGCAGTGGAACAACCTGCCAGCCCAAGGCAACCTGCACTGGAGCTGGGCGGACCCTCACTCACCAGCCAGACCTTTGAAATGTTGGCCACTGTGTCTGCTTGGAGACACTGTGTCTCATTGTGGATTTTTTGTTTCCCCTCTCCCTCCATTGGCCGTATCCCCAGTGTTAGAAAATGTGTAACAGCTTGGCAGAAACAGCGTCTTTCTGAGATCACTCCTCATTACGTCTCTGTCATCCATTTGCCTTCACTTTTGTACACAAGCAAGACATGCTACACCCGAGCACAAACACAATGGTGTCTTACATCCTTGAGAAGCTCAGGCTCATCTGCCTTCAGGTTATTATTTTGGTGACACCAGGGTGAAAGGGGACTGTTGACCTTTGACCCCTTAAAGCTGTTAAAGGTTGATTCGGAATAGACCGGCGTCTTTAAACAGCACCATCTTATCCATATCATTAGCCCTTACCAGAATGCTATATATGAAGCATGAAGACTAATACACCTTACAATACTTGGGAAAATTCTAAAAAGTCAAAACCCAACACCATCCAAATTATCAGGCACAAAAGAAATTAAGCTCCCGAAACGTTCAGACATTTTGATCCCCAGGCGGGTTCGCATGGTGTGTGTTTCAGAGGTAATGTGTACACAAAATTCTGTTAATCTTTAGCTTGCTGCTGATTTTCAAAAAGCCACAGTAGTTCCAGGAAGTTAGGCAAAGCATGGTGATAAGTCTGCCTGCAGTGATATTTCATAATGGCTTTTCTTTTCACGCCACCTCATGATGTGGAAAATTGAGCGAGAAGCTGCTTGCAATGTTTAATTAGCACGATTCCCACCTTTTAATCAGAGCAGCACATCATGACCAGAGCTATTACATACATGAGGTCTTTAACTTTGGTTTTTGATGGTAGTGCCCATGAATTTAAGTATTCCATTAAATTATTAATGAATAAAATAAAACATAATCAATTATATTGATTTGCAGCAAGGACTAACTAACCACTTGAGAATTGTCATACATTATTCATTTGAGTCATTATCTCAAGGCAGCTGCAATGACTTTATCCCTATAATGCAGGCTTTTGAGAGATGCTGTAATATAGCTCATTCACAATATAGTATCTATTTTATTTGAAAATCAAATGAAAAGTACCCTTCAAGACATTTTAGTCACTGACTTAATCTATTTTCCCCCCTTATGGTTCAAATACAGCTACATATTCTAAATGTTTCAATTTGTAATCTGCCCATGTCTTTGTTTATGGGCTCAGAACACTTGATCCACACTTGTGTTTTTCAATGCACACACAAATGTGTTCCATTTCATATACATGTAAATAAAATCCAAATACAGAAAAAAGTTTTACATGTGTATTTTTGATCCTCACATATTTGTTTTCCGTTTAAATCCTCTGAACCTGCAAACACAAACCGCTTCCTGTGCACGGATCGCTGTGCATTCGTGTGTGGGTTTTTTGAGACTCCCCTGACGGTCAGCCGATTCCTACTTGTAATTTTTTCTATCTATAGCCAATCAGATGTCTCCTTCATTCTAAGACAATCACATGAGCGCGCCCCCACGAGGGTAGATTTCTTGCATTCATGACGTAGCGCTTCATGTACGCATTTTGCGCAGTCCGAAGCTGACAGGTCCATGGAGCCTGCCTGCAGGCGCTAATCTCAGGACACCCTCCACTCTCAGTACAGCGCCACTTACCGAACAGGAAATGCACACAAATACAAGCCTTTATTTAGGGAATTGACCTGCCATCTCCCAACTCATCGCCACCATCATTAACTCCTCCCTCAGATCTGGATCAGTTCCCCCCTCTCTCAAACTGGCTGCTGTCACACCCATTCTCAAAAGACCTGGACTCACACCTGACATCATGTCCAACTTCCGGCCCATCTCAAATCTCCCCTTTCTGTCAAAAATACTTGAACGTGTCGTTGCCTCACAACTTAAAGCCCACCTCAGCTCCAATGATCTCTTTGAGCCATTTCAATCCGATTTCCGATCAAAACACAGCACAGAAACAGCTCTTCTCCAAATCCCAAAGACCTCCTCCTCTCCTCTGACTCCGGCAACCTTAACATCCTCATCCTCCTCGACCTCACCGCAGCATTCGACACCATCAACCACACCATCCTGCTGTTCCTCCTCGAATCATCACTCAACATCACCGACACTGCACTCTCCTGGCTGAAATCCTACCTCACCGACAGACATCAGTTTATCAACATCAACAACTGCACCTCCTCCACTGCTCCTCTGTCCCAAGGCGTCCCCCAGGGTTCGGTGCTTGGCCCCCTCCTCTTCATCCTTTACATGCTCCCCCTTGGCAAAATAATTAGTCGCCACAACCTTCAATTTCACTGCTACGCCGATGACATCCAACTTTATATCTCAACAAAGACCATCACCCCCACAACACACTCCACTCTCACCAACTGTCTCTCAGAAATAAAAGCATGGATGCAAACAAACTATCTCCAACTGAACAGTGCCAAATCAGACATCATCATCGGCCCCCCCATCCCGTATCAAAGACATCCAGAATTTCAACTTCACCCTTGACAGCCACACTCTATCTCCCCCCCTCACATCCGCAACCTCGGAGTCATCTTCGACAGTTAGCTCAAATTCAACCACCACATCAATCACATCACCAGGACCGCCTTTTTCCACCTCAAAAACATTGCCCGTCTCCGCCCATCACTCTCCTCCTCTGCTGCTGAAACCCTGATTCATGCATTCATCACTTCACGACTCCTGCAATAGCATCCTCTACGGCATACCATCCAACCTCCTCAATAAACTCCAACATATCCAGAACTCTGCTGCCCGCCTCCTCACCCACACCCGCTCCCGAGACCACATCACTCCCGTCCTCCAGAACCTCCACTGGCTCCCCTTCTGTCAAAGAATCGACTTCAAAGTCCTCCTGATTGCTTACAAAGCCCTCAACAATCAGGCCCCCCCCCCTACCTCACAGACCTGCTGCACCACCACACCCCTTCCCGCTGCCTCGGCTCATCAGAAGCCAACCTCCTATCCATCCCCACCCACATCAATCACCGGACCTGGGGGGACAGAGCCTTCTCCGTCGCTGCCCCCTCCCTCTGGAACTCACTCCCACAACCCATCAGAGACTGCACTGACCTCCCCACCTTCAAAACA